GGTTAAGACTTCCTCTAGGTCATTTAAATACACTTGAACGGAGGAGTTTGGACAAGTTGATGATAAGTAAATGTTCATAAAAAACGACCGCTTTGAATGAAAATAGATGTTTATTCTGTCATAACAGCACGACTCCCTCTCGATGTAATCTTATGCTTACTTCCAGAGAATCTTCTTGTCAGAAAAACACGTGTTATTAATTACAGTGACTACACCTCCTTCACGACTTTTGGTGCTGTTGAATTTATTTGTCGAAAATTAGTGAAGCCCATATGATCGATTAAGGAATTATGGATATGAAAATGCAACCAGGATTCTTTTAATAATAGTGCGGAAGCAGTTTAATAGTAACTTGCAGTTCAGCAGCAATGCCATTTCATCAATTTAAGGTAGATAAAAGCGGCAGCTGACTGATAAAACAAAGGGAATTGTCATTTTGGCGGTGGAGTGACGTTTAAGCGCCACTTGCCATCCACTAGCTGAAGAATCGATTCGGACACAATGATTTCTGAACTGGGCGATTCTTCGTAGAGGGGCATTTCGAACGGTGCTACGGTTAACTTTGGTAAAGCATTGAGAGCAATTGCGAGATGATCCGAAGCCCGAAAGATTGATGCCGAACGTAAATCCGACCAAATTCTTACCACAGCACGTCAGAAATTATAAATAGAATCTAAAGTATAAGATGATTGATGATAATGATACAGTTTTTCAATACGATTGGCAGATCAAACGTTGCAGATACATTGTGAAACGGAGTGGAGCAGGGAACTGCAGTCAGTAATAGCGTTCAAAATAGTGCAACTATACAGCGAAAAGTAGAGGTAAGAACCAGCGGTTCCAGCCTTTAACCGGCAGTCCAATCCAAATCTTCGAGCTTTATTAGCCGTAGATGACAGTGACGACTATATGGAAATGCAGTAACTACTGATTTACAAAAACAAATGTGTAATGATCGTGTCAGATTAATGTTTTTTTGCTATAACTAGCGATTGTTTCTCGAGGTTATACCAACTGATTTATTTTGTCTTTAGCTTGAATCGGTTTTGCAAGAATTCATATTGGATAACGATTCGTTGCAGCGTATGATGTACGTGATGGAGAAGATGATGAACTACGGTCTGACCGGTGCGGAATCATCGATCGCTATGTTGCCGTCTTTTGTGCCGTCGCTGCCTGAAGGAGATGGTAATATGGTGGCACCACTACTGTGTTCGTCATGCTCTCTATTCTGTAGTCAACTTGTTGGTATTTAGAGACTGGACGGTATTTGGCAATGGACCTCGGCGGTACGAATCTCCGCGTTCTTCTAATGGACATCAAGAAAGAAGACAGCATAACCGAGAGTAGAAACTTTCGCGTCCCGCAGGCCGTCATGACGGGAACTGGAGAAGGGGTGAAAAGCTTTTTCTTTTTTTGTCTCGACTGAAAAAAATATTATACCTGCATCGTTTGGTGATCATTCAGATATCGGTTGAGTGAAGTATCAGACAATAGGATCCGACATGCCACACCGGAACACCATGACATCTGTATTGTTTGCAAGCCGACGCCTTGACTTGTCCTTTTTTCGGCTGGTTGCACCGAAGCACAGCAGCATGAATTCATTCCTGTGGAAATTAGCATCGAAAACTTTCACCAAATTGTTGCATTTTATGTTGATGCGCATATAATGCGCTGGTTGGCCAGTTGCCTTTCTGGATGCTCTCAGTGACTGCACCGTTCCAGTAGACCAGTGCAAATTTTCTTCTCTACCTAACAAATGATGAATTTTGCAGGGATCGTTTTTTTGTCTCTGCTTCTCTTCGTATTATGCATTAATGTATAGAAGACAAAATCTGAATGATTGCATAAAATACGCAGAGCACACCTTACGTTTTAGGTGATCTCACAAAGTATTCTTGCGCAGTCGTTTTGACTATATATGTATTAGTCATAGTAAAATTTAACAGTGTTTATTTCAGCACAACAAGTATTCCTGCAATACAGTAACAAACTGCCTTATCCCCTATATTTCGCTACAGAACCAAAAGATTGGCATAGTTTCTCAGCATGGTTATTTTGGAGTCACTGTAAACGGAGGTGCACCTCAGTACCCCGCTCGGCAATAAGGTGCTCATTAAAGTGCAATGGTGCAGCTGGTGCACCTATTTTTGAACGCCTAACTTCATTACAAACTTCTAAAGACATAAGTTAACTGCTTCTTAAACCTCTGCATACTTTCTGTAATTAATGTTTCGCCAATATGCTTTTTTCCGTTCGTAAAGTGGAGATTAGCGCATTTTGATTGGTGCTGAAGATCCAGACATCAATTGGCCATTATGAATGTCTTAAACTCGTGGCAGATCAGATTGTAAGGCATCTGGTAAATCGTAGTAAATGTTTTCTAACAGATCCTCTATTCGTTGCATAAAGCTCTCAAAATGCATGTCTCACTACACAAGGTCCCAGTGTGTCTCCGTCGATGCGAGCACTGAAGCATGCGGAAAATCTGTAATGCCACAGATCGCTAGAATTCTACAGGAGGAGGACTAGGAAAAGCGGAGTCTGGTCGAATCGTTCCCTTTCGTATTAATTCGCGCAATTAGATTTTCGTCTGCATTACTTTTCTTCTCCCTATCCGTTTCCTTTTTATCCTTAATTCCATATCTTAGTGTTATGTATCTTGCCTTTTATTATGCGTTATATGTATATTGTTTTATCAATGAGTCAGTCAATGATAAAATTTTAATCGCTGCTTTATTTGGTATTATTTCCACTAATTTAGGTAATAAGCTCTTTAGATGTGATAGTTTAATCGTGAATAAAGAGAGGCGGTTATATGTCTGGAAGATATATCTAATAAGGGAAGCTTTCAGTTTTGAGTTGGTGAGTATAAGCAATGTTGTGTCTTCTGAAAGGTTCATTTATTAAATATATTTTTCCATTGTTCGAACCAGCTTTTTTATCTATTTTATTATGAGTTTGTTTATGTCTTTTCGAAATGATTGTCAGTAGTTGATTTAAAATCTTCATAACTTGTTTACTTGGTACCTGCCTTGCTGCCGCCTCACTTTTGACCGACTTCGTCATCGTTTCCTGCGCAGTTGCTGTTTAAGAGCATTCTGCTAGCCGTTGTTTGCAATGAATGGTGTCACTAAGAACGAACCTGGAGCGCATTTACTTTTATTTGCACACAAACGGATAATGAGGTATGGTAGATTTTAAAAATGACTACAGATGTGGCGAAGGGTCTTTCTGAAGTTATTTGGTTAGGAGGCTAATTGTTGAAAAATGAAAGCGGGCCCAGAATTGGCACTTCCTGCTATGAACGAATATTCATTCGTTTAGTTACTTAGGGTCGTGTAAGTTGATCTGGTGGCCACAGATTAGTTGCTTGCGAACCATCGCCGGTTAGGCGAATGATAAGTATGATTTAATCATGAACTGCGTTGAATATTAATTATTGGATGAAAACATTTTTTTTTGTTTGAAAGAAAATGTTATTTTGGTTTGTTGAGTGCGTGATTTTGTTTTAGCTATTTGATTTCATTGTCAACTGCCTGGCGAACTTCTTGGACGAAAAAGGCCTCCTTGACGCTGGCCTTAGTCTCGGCTTTACATTCAGCTACCCATGTGATCAACACGGCATTCGTTCAGCGAAGCTGTTGCACTGGACAAAGGGCTTCAACGCGTCGGGCGTCGTGGGAAACGACGTCGTTGTTATGCTTGAGGAGGCGATCAAACGGCGAGGGGTATGCATGATCATTGCGCAGCTTACGTTTCATTGGTCGATGTCTATGCTTTGCAGAACATTAAAGTAAAAATCGTCGCTTTGATGAACGACACGGTTGGAACGCAGATCTCCACCGCCCACGACATTGGACAATGTGCCCTCGGTGTCATAGTCGGTTAAGTGACGTTTCATTTTCTCTACGTCAGATTTCGTTAATCTTCAAGCGTGTTGTCAGTAACTGCTCCTTAGTCAGAAGTTTTAATAGTCTTAACGGGGAAGTAAGTTCTTGGTGCTGTAAGACTACAGACCTGCAGCATGTTTAAAGTGCCCCTGAGCTTCTGCAGGAACCGCGGAAACCAGGAAAAACGACAGATATGTTGCTATAACAGAGCTTTTCTCCGTACGCCCAGTTTTCAGCTAAATAGAATTTGTAAAATTGTGCTTATACATTTAATTACTATTATTATCTTCAACATCATGTTTATCAAGGAAACCAGCTTAATTTGAGAATTGCAGAATTTAACCCTGAATGTCTGATAAGTTTGTAAGGACAATAAAATCATAGGAAAACGATGATGAAGGAACAATAATGAATTTACGAGAAGTCCATATAAAGGTCACTACACTCGTGAATTGAAAGCAAATTAATCTGTGCATGTCGTATAAGTGATAACTGTTAACTCAATTCAATCCTTATTATATGACATTATACAGCAGAATTTCGTAAAAACGAGCCGTTTCTGGTAT